AAGAAAAGTGTCAAACTACATACAAAGGAATCCCTACCAAACTAACAGCAAATTTCTCAGCAGAAAGCTTACAGGTCAGGAAAGAATGGAATAATATATTCAAAGTACTGAATGAAAAAAAAATATCTATCAGCCCAAAATACCATACCCAGAAAAGCTATCTTCCATAAATGAAGAAGAAATAAAGTATTTCCTGAACAAATAAAACTGAAGAAATTAATCACTACTACAGTAGACATACAAGAAAAGCTAAAGAGAGTCTTATATCTGGAAGTAAAAGATATTTACCATTACGAAAACTCTAAAGCATAAAACTTACTGGAAGAGCAGATATGCATGAGTAAGAGAACTAAATGTTACCACTACAGAAAATCACCAAATCACAAAGATAAGGAAGAGAGAGAGAAAGGAACAAAAGATATACACAACAATCAAAAAATAGCAAATGACAAGAGTACGTTCTCACCTATCAATAACAACTTTGAAGGTAAAGGCTTAAATTCCTAAATTAAAACATACAGACTGTCGGAAAAGAAAAAAAATCAAGACCCAACTGTATGCTGCTTAGTATAAACTCAATTCACATGCAAAGACACATATAGACTTAAAGTGAAGAGATAGAAAAAGATATTCCACACCATTGAAAACCAAAAGTACGCAGCAGTAGCTATATTTATATCAGACAAAATAGACTTTAAGTCAAAAAACAGAGGCAAAGAAGGTCATCATAAAATGATAATGGAATCAATTTAGTCATGGGTTATGAAACTGCATGTGTCCCACAAATGGTGCATGCCTCAAGAGTCATAATAAAATGAAAGAGGGCACTAAGCAACTAGCACCAAGCTGTCTGCCTCGCTCAGCCCAGGCGAGCCCAGGCCCCGCATATTGCTGCTGATCCTTTCACCCCAATTCCTTTCTACACAAGTAGACCCACAAGGCCAGAAAAGTTACCACATCACTGGAGCAGATAAAATGGGGGGTAAATTGCTCAAATCTACCACCAACCACCACAACTGTAATCAGAACTCCCAAAAATTCTGCTTATTCAGCCAACATTGAGCATGAACATCAGTACCCTCACAACTCATGTTATTTCTATCATTTCCAGTAATGTGGATGAGCCTAAAGGAAATCATATTAAGTAGAATAAGTCAGGCATAGAAAGACAAATATCCTATGGTCTCACTCACATGTGGGAGCCAAAAAGTGGATCTCGTGGAGGTAGAGAGTAGAATGGTGATTCTTGGAGGCTTAGAAGTGTAGGAGGGAGAGGAGAATGACAATAGCTTGGATAATGAGCACAAAAATACAGTTAGATAGAAGGAATAAGTTCTAGTGTTTAAAAAAAAGTTCTAGTGTTTGACAGCAATAATTTGACTTCAGAATAGCTCGGAGAGAAGATCTGCAATGTTCTCAACACAAAGAAATGATAAATGTTTAAGCTATCCTGATTGGACCACTACACATGGCATACATGTATCAAAATATCACATGTATCCCATAAATATGTACAATTATTATGTATCAATAAAATATATAATTAAGAAAATGAAGTCACAGAGTGGGAGAAAATCTTTTTAAAAGATATATCTACAAAGTATTGTATAGGAAGCATTTTAAAAACTCTTCCAATACACTAAGAAGACAACCCAATAAAAAATGGGCTAAGATTTAAATAGACTCTTCACCAAAGAAGATATATGAATATCAAACAACCGCAAGAAAAGATATCCAACATCATTAGTCATTAGGGAAATCAGCATGAAGTCATAAAGGGATATAACAACACATCCGCTATAGTGGTTAAAATGATAAAACAAAACAAAAAGAAAAGTGTGTACTGGGGTGTGGAGAAACTAAAATCATATTCATACATTACATATGGGAATATAAAATGGTACAACAACTAGGAAAACATTTAGTGATGTCTTAAGAAATTAAACATATAGCTATTATCCAACCAAGCATTCTACAACTGGACATCTACTTAGGAGAAATGAAAATACATGTTCACAAGAAGAAATGAAAATACATGTTCACAAGAACATGCAGTGGTTCATAGCAGGATCATTCATAATAGCCAAACCACAGAAACAGCACCATGAATGAATATCTCAAAACAGATGCATTGTATGACTGCAGTTACATGAAATTTTAGAAAGTAAAGCTACAGAAACAGAAAACAGACTAGGGATGACCCGGGGCAAGTAGTGGAGAAAGGAGCTGGGCATGAGGGAACATTTGTGGATGATGAAAGTGTTCCAAAACAGGATTATGGTAAAGATAGTAAAACTAGAAATTTACTAAAACTCACTAAATTTTATAGTTAACATGGATGAATTTACTGGTACGTAAATTATCACTCAATAAAGCTGTTTTTTAAAAAGGCTACCTGCTGGGTTTGAAAATAAAATACTCTTTTTTTTTTTTTCTTTTTTCTGAGTTGGAGTCTCTGTCGCCCAGACTGGAGTACAGTGGCCGCTCCCGGCCACCGCAGCCTCGACCTCCCTGCCGGGCTCCGGCGATCCTTCCGCCTCAGCTTCCAAGTAGCTGGAACTACAGGCATGCACTGCCACGCCCGGCTAATTTTTTGATTTATTGTAGAGATGAGGTCTCACCAAGTTGCCTAGGCGGGTCTCGAACCCATGGGCTCAGGTAATCCACTCACCTCAGCCTCCCAAGGCACGGGATTACAGGCTGAGCCACCGAGCCCAGCTAAAATACTCTTTTTATAAAAGAAGAAAAACTAACAGAACAAATAAAATAGTGACAAACTGACACAGGTTTCTCATTAACAATAATAAATGCAAAAATAAAATGGTTAATGTTTTCTTTTTTTTTAAGCTTTCAAGCAAAGTTTATTTAGAAAGCAAATTAGAGAGATAGAGAGAGACAGAGAAATTGATTCACCTCCCCTAGGCAGGGGAAGGGAACAAAGCTGAAAGAGCCACATGGAGACACCAGAATTTAACAAAGCAATGGCCGGTTAATATTTTCAATCTATTATTTTCCAGATGTGCAGAGGGAAAATTATACTTCTTTAGTTCTGTGACCAACTTAGCCATAATTCAAAAGTAAGGATGAAATTGAGACCCTTACAACATTAAAATCTAGAGTTTACTAATCACGATTCTCATTGAAATAATTATTAAAAGGTGAACTTCGGTAAAAAAGAAAATGAACTCATAAGTGAGGGGTGAAATGCAAACACAACTTTCTAAGAAACTAGAAAACATACTAGTAAACCTAAGTAAATGTTAACTTTTTAAAAAGTGAATGAATATTTAAGGATTTGGTGGAACTAAAATATTAAACTAATAATCACATTGAAAAATGCTAAGGAAAGCTCAGAGCTAAATTAATGCATTTTAGTGTCCTTGCGTGCTACTCAGAAGGAAGACAGATAAAATTGATTTTGAACTTTTAAAAATATAAATTAAAATTAATGTAGTTTTAAATGTTAGGATAACTACTAAAAAGAAGAGAAATATATTTCATAGCATTTAAACCTTTAAAAATAAAGGAAGACTAGAGAAAATTCAACAGAAAGCAGAAAGGTGGGAGGAAGCAAAGGCAATATATGATAAGTAGAAAACATATTGGTATAAGTCTACATATAAAAACCAGTAAGTATACATGAGATTAAATAAGCTAGTAAAGTACAGAAATTCTAAGATTGAATTTCAATCCTGTTTATAAAAGACACAACTAAACAATGACATAAAATGGTTAAAAACAGACTTCTGCTTCTTACCACATAGCAGTAAAAATAACCTGAAAAACCTCCCAGTGTAATTCTATGAATACTGGATAATATGTCACAAAGCTCCTTGTAAATGTATAACTGAGTTCACAGCAAAGAAAGGGAAGACCAGGAGGAAAAAAAGAATGAAATGGCCAGGCAGGGCAATTGCAAACTCCTAAGCCTATGTTGCCCCCATGGCAGCAGGTCTTGGGTTCCATGCCCATGTGAGGAAGAAGGTGTCTCCTTAAGCCTGAATAGAATGGGGGATTCAAAGAGAAGTCTTGTGCACAGCTGAAACCCCAAGGTGTGCTCTACCCTCAATGAAGGCAGAATTAGAAACAACAGGTACAGGAAGTTGTGTCAGGAAAGCTCTCTTTCTTGGCCAGGCCTCCAGGGAGAAAAAAGTTTCATCTGAGAATTTATATCCAGAAGCCCACCCTCCTGTTGATTTGGGTGTTGCATTTACTCTGTGTGACCTGGGAGTGCGTCCACCAAGAAGGCAACATAAGTGGGCCTTGCTGGTCAGACTGCAATGACACCTTGAGAGGGAAGCTCAATACTACTCTAGAAGGGGCGTACACCCTCAACCTGCACGGGACTCCTACAGACAGACACACTCTTTACCCTCTTTGAGAGCTCAGTACCCCACTGTCTTCCCTTCAAGATGGCCATCCAGCCAGTAAAGTGCCACATGAGACCATAGAACAGAGTTCCATGGGTGAGTTACTGACCATAATGGGTCAGGAAATTCAATGTGTCCCACAAACGGTGCATGCCTCAAGAGTCATAATAAAATGAAAGAGGGCACTAAGCAACTAGCACCAAGCTGTCTGCCTTGCTCAGCCCAGGCTAGCCCAGGCCCCCCGCACACGCTGCTGCTCCTTTCACCCCAATTCCTTTCTACACAAGTAGACCCACAAGGCCAGAAAAGTTACAACATCACTGGAGCAGATAAAATGGGTGAAAAAACTGCTCAAATCTTCCACCAGCCACCATGACTGTAATCAGAACTCCCAGAAATTCTGCTTATTCAGCCAACATCGAGCATGAACATCAGTACCTTCACAACTCATGGTATTTAAATGTGGTTACACTTGAGGGTTAAATCCAGTCTCTTTCATTCTTTATTTACACTCTTTCCTCATTCCAACAAGCTTCTGAGGCATCATTAGAGGTGCACAGAATTCGTCTGTTAGATATTGTCCCTGGGGCTCTAACAAGGCCACACATGCTGGGTAGGCATGGAACTTACGTGATGACGCTGACCAGAGTGCTCCTAAAGCTCTCTCGCTCTTTGTGTGGAGATTTGCCCTTCGGCCGGAAAGTAGATGGTCCAGCACAGCTATCATCAACCTGGTCAGATAATTGGCCTTTTTTTTTAATGCGTTCCATGTATTCACCTTAAATTTTTAAAAAGGCACGAATTATTCATCTAAAAAGCAAGCTAAAACATTTACATGCTTAGAATAAAATGCTAAATCACCTTTTAAGAAAAAAATTACATTCTCAAGCAATCCTAAGAGTGTGTGTGTGTGTATTTTTTTAACTATTGGGAAGTTAAACTACTTCTGTTTTGTGTCATCACATTAAAAATATCTTTTTAAGGATATTCAATTATTTATTTTATATTTTTATTAATATGCTAATAAACAAAATTTTCAATTGTACTTACATAGAATACTCTAAAAATAAATGATTTAAATTATAATTAAAACAATATCAAACTACTGAAGAACATTTAAAGAGCTATGACCAAAAAAGTTAATATTAAATGTAATCAACCTAATGAGCACTGTATTTAATGAGTCAAATAATAGAAATGTTAAAATGACTAATTTGGAAGTAATGTTTATAATATTTAAAATCCCTCTTAGAGAAGTCTCAATCTTGATGCAGAGGCTAAAATAAATCAGAATTTTATTGTAAACCTTCCAATTCCTGACATCAGCTCTCATAGCACTGATAACAGCCTGGGATAACTAAGAATTGGCATCAGTTATTCTAAGGAAAAACATTTAGGAACTTTTTTTTCTACTTGACATGTCATGTAGGTTTTATAATTCGATTATGCCACTAACTAAACATCACATGGTCTTCTCCTCTAGATGTTTTCCTTAAGTTTAACCTAGAACACTAATGTTCCTACCGTAGGACTGCTCATTTTTAACACGAAATGGTTCTGGAGTCTCATCGTCCTGCTTGACAGTCAGGTGGAACAACGGTGCTGCCTGCTGCCACTGGGGCTTTGAGCTCACCTAAAGCATGAAATTTAAGTAGCATTCATAAGCAATGCCAGAAAAGAGCATATTTCACAAAAATGCATAAGCATTTATAAACATAAACATTTTCTCAAACAAACCAGGATATCTATTCGATAGCAGCTCCTCCTCCAGTCTGTGGATGGTCATGGTATGCACCATAAAAAGGACATTACAAAGCCCTGCTGCTGGCCAGTGTAGGGCCTGCTATCTCAGACTGGGGGTCCATCTGGAGAGGCTGCTCCTTCCCAGTGTGTCCAGGCCTTCTGTTTTAACAAGAGACACTTTCTGCTGGCCTCTAGTGCTAATGAGTTCCTCTGCACTACAGCTCCTAAAGTCTTCCTATTTCCGTGGCTTTAAATGTTCCTAGGTTGCTCTGGTAACTCAAAAATTCATTCCATCATTTAAGATAAGGGTCACAAATTATCATACACACACAATCTGGGTCGGTGTCACAACGAAGGACAAGACTGGTGAAGACAGGCACTGGTACTCAGATTCAAGGCTGGGAGACAAGAGTGTGAGAGGGCCTGCAACTGACACAAAAACACCTACATTTCCTAAAAAGGCAATGACTAATTCACTAAAGCAACACCAGAACACAGACCTATTGTTACTAGAGCCTCCAGTTCTTCAGTAAGCCCAGTGGGCAGATTTTAAGGTAAAATCTATACACTTTTTAACACTGACAATTTAGTATCTTTCTTTTGATTCCAAACCACCTTGGTAGCCCATGCTTATAGTGGTTTCTTCTGCCTGGTTTCACTCTCCCCAGTCTCTTGCTCCTGGTCCCAAATAAACCACCTGCACCCAAGTGCCTGTTTTAGGCTCCTCCTATACAGGAAGACGGGCTAAAAAAACTTAGGGTCAGTGCTCTTCCATCTGCCCTTCCCACTCAATTCTCATCTTCTCCATCAAGGACTTAGACTCTGTGCTGTGAGAGAGACTGCAGGACGGTGAGCATTGGTCACTAGCTCACCAAAACAGGAGCCATCACAGTCAAGTTACCCTTGATTTCAGCCACAGGGCCTGCCTATAAAGCATGAAGGTGTCTAATGAAAATTACTTAATACCTGCCAGAGAACTTACATTCAGATGCAAACCTTAATAATACATTCAAATGAAGACAGTTTCCTTTTTAAATCAATAAATTATTTTAAAAAAATATTTCTTGAAAATACGATTTCCCCCAAGCATAGTGGCTCACTCCTGCAATCCCAGCACTTTGGGAGGCAGAGGCTAGAGGATTGTCTGAGCCTAGTGGTTGGAGACCAGCCTGGGCATCTTGGCAAGACCTCGTCTCTACAATAAATAAAAAACTTAGCCAGATATGGTGATACACACCTGTAGTTTCAGCCACTTGGAAGGCGAAGGCAAAAGGATTGCCTGGGCCCAGCAGGTTGAGGCTGAAGTAGCCATGAGCGTGCCACCGCCCTATAGCCTAGGCGACAGAGTGAGACTCCAACTCAAAAAAAAAAGAAAAGAAAGAAAGAAAACACTATTTCCCTTAAAACACAGAAAATTCAATGAATGCTAAAGAAAAAGTGTAAGATACAGCCAAATATGAACATAAAACCTGGTTTAAATTAGCCCAAAAAAGCATTTTAGATAATTATATTTCCAGTGGCAGGAAAGGATTATTATTCATTTCAACCACAGACATTCAATAAGCAAACTTAAAATTTAAATAAAGTCTATTTTCCTAACCTAAATACTAACAAAATACAACAAAGGGCAATTTTTATTTTTTCAGTTTAAAATATGTTAAGTTGTAAAAGAGAAAATAAAATATCTATTCTATTTCAAATCCATGCCTTTTAAACTAGAAAATTTTAAGTGAATTTTGCATGACTAGAGAAAACATTTAGATTTCAGTTTTACAGACTTCGGGTGATAATTTGATATTATCAATAAAAGTATATTTTCAACTGAAATGTGTATTTTGAAATGTTTAAAATAATTAAGAAAGTTCATTCAAGTTTTCTAAGGGAAAATGTCCCTTGCTTCAAATTAACGGAATCTTCTTTGTATAAAGCAACACAACATCAATTTTATAGTTTGTTCTGAGCTTTTAAAATATCTTTCAAGACAAATAATGATTTGGATGAAACTTGAAGGCATCTGCTAAGTGAAACACAAGAGGACAAGTATTGAATGACTCTGTTTATATAAGTAGTCAAATAAATAGAAACAAAAAGTAGAATGGTGGCTTGCTAGGGCCTGGATAAGAGAAAAATGAGAGTTATTCGGTAATGGATATGGAGTTTCAGTTTGGAAAGAAAAAGACTAAAAGAGTTCTGGAGCTAAATGGCAATGAAGATTGCACAATAAGGTGAATGTATTAAACGCCACTGAAGAACAGAGGGGAAGATGATGGCAGAACTAGTCAGACTGTGTGAGTACCTGTGTGAGTGAGTGAATGTATGGATGAATTTGCATGTGTGTAAGTGGGCATGTGACTGGCTGACTGAGTAGGGACTCGAGAGCAAGTGGTCAGGGCTCTCCTGGTGAAACAGCTAGTACCACAACTGCTTGGATTCCAGAGCTTCCAGGGCACAGAAGCTTAGAGCCATTTTCAAAAATCAACAAAACCCTTCCTGGGAAGAAGCTGCCTGTCTCACCACCACATAAATCTGTGTGCGTGTCTGTGTGTAAGTGGGCCTGTGAGTGGCTGACTCAGTGGGACTCAGGAGCAAGTGGCCAGGGTGCTCCTGGTGAAACAGCTGATGCTGCAGCTTCTCTGCTTGGAAGAGCTTCTAGAGCTTCCCAGGGCACAGAAGCTGAGAGCCATTTTCAAAAATCGGCAAAACCCTTCCTGGGAAGAAGCTGCCTACCCCACCACTGCAGAGCCAGGCTGGACACTGGCCGTGAGAGCTGCAGAGGGAGCACAGTGAGGGAGCCAGAGGTAGAGTCCCAAAGAAGGGGCAGGTAGCAGTCACCACTCAACACCTAGACTTGCTGCCACCTACCTCCTCCAGTGCCAGGCTAGCCTAAAGCCTGGGCAGAGAAATGCTCCAGGGTGGGCTCCGCGGAACAGCAGACTTGTGTCTTAAGACCGGGGGTGATCTCTGCATTACTTTGAGGCTGCTCTCCACTAACCCAGAGGGGATCCCCCGCCAGTGCCCAAGCCCAGTGGGTAATGGCAATAGGAAGCCCCAGAAACCACAACCCCCTCAACCTGAGCCAGCTGCTGGGCAACAGACATATTCAGTGAATCTGTCTGAGAAGGAGTGCCTAGCTGACTTCCCCCCGCCCCAGCAATGAGTGAAAGAGAACAGGAGGGCAGGGTGAGGCTAAAGGCCCCATTCCTCCACCAAGAATTGGATGCATGGGAGCTGTGATCATGCTGGGAGAGGAGGGAAGGGGGAGAGAGTCTGCAAGATGCTAAGTCAAGTCACCCCCCCTCATCTCCCTGTGGGCATGAGATGGCTATCAATTGCAAGTAGAGGGCATGAAGATTCTTTTTTTTCTTTTTAATTTTTATTTTAAAATTGTGGGGCACAATTCAGGGTTAGGTATACAAATATTCATTGTGCAGTTACCCTTGCTGATGAGGGGTGCCCCCCTTCCCCAGGTAGATATCGACTACTGTCAATCTCACCTCCCTGCCCTCTCTCCCCCCACCCCACAGTTTCCCACTACTGTCAATTCAATCCTTTTCTTATAGTATTATGGCAGTTGTTCAAGGTTCACTTACGAGTGAGAACATGTGATACTCAGATCTTTGTTTCTGTGAAAGATCACTCAGTATTATAGACTCTAAGTCCATCCAGGCTGCTGCAAAATTCATGATTTTGTTCTTCTTTATGGCTGTGTGATATTCCACTGTGTATATGTATCATGTTTTTTTATCCAGTTCTCTTTTGATGGGCAGCACAGTTAGTTCCCTGTGCTCGCTATTGTGAATAATGCTGCGATAAACATACTAGTTTACACTCCCACCAGCAATGCAGAAGTGTTCCCTTTTCACCACATCCTCTCCAGCATCTGTTATTTTTTGAGTTATTGATGATGGCCATTCTGATTGGAGTTAGGTGGTATTTCTGTGTAGTTTTAATTTGCATCTCCTTGATGACCAGTGAGGCTGAACATTTTTCCACGTATCTGTTGGCTGTTCATATGTCTTCTTTTGAGAAGTATCTATTCATACCTTTTCCCCACTTTGTAATGGGGCTGTTTGTTTTTTTCTTTTCAGTACATTTGAGTTCCTTGTAGATCCTTGATGTTAGGCCTTTGTCAAACATGGAGTTGGCAAATATTTTTTCCCAGTCTGTGGGCTGTCTCCCTGTTCTCCTGATGGTTTCTTTGACTTTGCAGAAGCTTGTCAGTTTAATGAGGTCTCACTTGTCTATCTTATCTCTTAAGGCATAGGCACTTCAGGTTTTGATCAGGAATTGGTTGCCAGTTCCAACTTCCATAAGAGTGTCTCCTGCATTTTCTAAGGTTCTTATAGTTTGAGGTTTTACCTTTAGGTCTCTGATTCATTTAGAGTTAATTTTTGTGTATGGGGATAGGTAGGGGTCCTGTTTCAATCTTCTGCATGTGGTCAGCCAGTTTTCCCAGCACCATTTACTGAATAGGTTCTCTTCTCCCCAGTAGTGGATGATAGAGCCTTTGTCGAAGATGAGTTGGTTGAGAAAGATTGTAACATCTCAACATTCAACAGCAAAGAGGGAACATGCAGTAACAGACCTACAGCCATAGAACCTGCCACAAGAGGGACTCCCCACCACAAAGAGATATATTAAGCTAAGAAATTTCTACCAGTGGGTTTTTTCATATTTTGGTTTTTTCTCTGTTTCCTTTTTTGTTCATTTTTCCTGTTTGTCTTCTTTGTTTGTTTCTTTGTTGGTTTGTTTTATCTTTTCTTTCCCCCTTCTTATTTCTCCCTTTTTTTCTTTCTTCTCTTTTTCCTTTTTCCTCTCCTTCCTCCCTCTCTTATACTCTATCTTGGACTCAGGGGCTACTCAAGCATACCCATTGTAAGTTCAT